GTAGTCGGTATTCCCCCCACTTCCAGACATTCATTAGTATATTCTATTTATTTATATTGTAGGTAAGATTATCATTTTTACAAAGTTCACATTGAACATAGAAGAACGTGCTTATCATAGCTTTGTATGCGTGTTTAGAACATCATGCATATCGCTCTCTGTTGTCTGAACACTCAATATCCCACTTACGTTATTTCTAAAGTGACTGAGTTATATTTCCTAAATAAACAAACTCACTTTAACAGCCCTGTCTCCAAAAAAAAGACACATGTTTACCATAATAAGGAAATGTTTCAATCTATATACTGTCAATGGTTTTAATGCAGCTGCCAATCAGAAAATGTTCTTACTGAATGTATCTATAATATGTTAACTGACAACTTGTTTAATTTCACTACAATATCCACTCATAGCAACCAAAGCATTATTAATGTTTTTTTTAATGCCTTTATTTTATAGAGACAGCTCAAGAGAGACAAGAGACGGGAGATGACACGCAGCAAACGGCCACTGGCTAGAATCAAACCTGGGCCGCTGCAGTAAGGACTCATGCTTGGTACATGGTATGCATGCTCTACCAGGTGAGCTACCAGGCTGCCCTGAGCATTATTAGTGTTTGTAATGCTCATGTTTAGGCACTAAGAGCACTTGGTTAAGGTTAGGAAAGACTGTGGTCTTGGATAAATATTGACAGTCAAACAGGAATGGAAGCATGAGACACATGTCTCCATGTTTCCTTTATTAATATTATCCAATTGTATGATTTGTCCCTAACCTTAACCGAAGTAAATCCTGCACTTAACAACACATGGGACTTGGGATGCACACTTTGGTCCTGCCCCCATTTGCTAACCAACCAGCCAAACACTCCGTAGTACCAGTACATTTCCACTGAACATAATCCATGCAGGGACTGAGTTCCCCCACAAGCATTTAGTAGTGTAAATGTATTTTGTAGAGTGATATCTTGATCTTCTCCAGTAGTAGTAGCAACAAGCGACCCTAGTTTTTCTCACTAACTTTCAAGTTACTTGAAACTTCAAAGGTGCACCTATCCAGATAATATATACTGTACATGTACAAGGTACTTACACCCATCACTATCCCGGTTTCTTTCACAATATACAGAATAATAGCACTTCGTTAATTCTAAAAACATACAGACATCTACACCTGGGACACTAATTAATATACTAGTAAATATACTGTAACTGTACTGTACTCATGCATGCTAGTAATGGAAACTAAATAGAACTGATGTGAATTAAACTGAGAGACAGAGAAAAAAGATGGAGAGTATTGAATATATTGCATGTTTTCTTTTGGTGTTTATTAATATGTTAACGTTTTCCTTTTGCTCTTGATTAACAATGGGTGGGGTTTGTCATAATGGAGTACATTATGGTGCACACTCTTCACTGTTAATCAAGCGTTGAGTGGTTCAATAGGTCTGTTGCCATAGAAACCAAAAATGAATAGTGGACCAAATCACTTGATTGGACGTGTAGTTGTTCCAGTCATTAATGGAGAACTAATGGGGCACTTTGTCTTAATTACAAGAATATGGAAATCAGAAAGTGTGTGTGTGTGTGTGTGTGTGTGTGTGTGTGTGTGTGTGTGTGTGTGTGTGTGTGTGTGTGTGTGTGTGTGTGTGTGTGTGTGTGAGACAGAGAGAGTGCAATCATGTAATTATTCAATAATCACCATCGGGCTATATTAGAACTTGGTTGGACTCAGTCTGGCATATTGTCTCTCCTACTGGCTCTGTGACTTCCAGTAAGAGAGGCAGTGCATGCATGCATTCAATCGCTGCGTCCTGGATCACAAACATCAGTAATATGTATGATTAAAATTTAACTTACGTCCTGTGGCCAGTGATTATCAGGAGCGAGAGGAACCATGCAACAGCTTAATATCATAAAACTAATCTGGTGTTATTTGAGTGAATGCTCATTTGTTCAATTGAAGCCCGAAGCTGAACTCAAACAGAACTTGTGAGCATCATGCGGAAACCTTTTCTCAAGTTCAATCATTGTTGACTTCAGTAGCAGGTCATTTTCAATCAAAACAAATAGACACATGTCCAGTGGTGCTCAGATACTGGTGCAGCAGTGTATCATTACCCCTGTCATATGATGTTGTTTTCATGCCTGCAGCCTTTGATTTCTGTCAAGTGGAGACCGAGAGCTCTCACCTTTCAGCGAACCCTGTGATCTTCTTAACCTCATGAAACAACATCTGCTCTGCCAGATTTTTTGTTTCACTGTATTTTTTGTGAGTTGAGAATAGATACACATATCATAGGACACGTGTTTGAGGGAAAATATGATTTTGTTTAGTCAGTTTATCCAACTTTAGGTACATGTGCGACACATGCAGTCTCTCCTGTTTCCTGTCCATCCCATTGATCAGCCTGTCCTCACTATAACAGGCTGCATCCTGTCTGTAGCATGTCAGTCATTTCCTGTACCCTTGGTTTTGAAGTTTGTTTTTTTGACATGATCGAGTAAAAAAGGAAGACTAAGGCACTGGAAACTTACCCCTCCAACACCCACTTTATTAACAGTGTACATTTATACATTTTTGGTTATTTATTATACTTTTGAATGTCACTTACAAGGTGGAGCATGTCACCAACCATAAACTGATAAAGTGTGAGCTACCTCAAAATGTAATTTGCTGCAAACTTTCAGTATTAGCTCTAATCAGTAATGTGATCCTCTGGATCATTTCAGAGTCTGATGCGTTTTATCAGCCAAACGCACAAGGGGTTGGCGGACCCAGGACAGACACCCAGACAGTAGGAGGTTAAGGGTTTACCACCACACCACACACACAGGGAGGGGCGGCCAGAGCAGGCGGGTGGGGGGCGCCGACAAGCCAGGAGCGCACAGGGCCAAACACACAAGACCCGGCAGAGGACGTTATAGCAAACGTTATCACTGTGCAAGGGTTTGTGGATTTTGTGAAACATTCACATTTTTCAGCAAATGTTACATTTCACATATTCATGTCTTGATTGCTTGATGGCGCTGTAAAGATTCATCTTCCAAAGAAGTAATTGTGGAATAAATTACATAATCATGTTGGTTTCACTTGCCTCCAGAATATAGAGAACATGAGGTTAAATGGATAATGCACAGTCTCCGATTATAGCTAACTGATTTGAAACCCTGAAAAATGCTGTTTTCTTCACCGTGTGCAATGCTCACTTTTTATGCAACAAACATGTCTATAATTAACCAAGTACAAAACATTCTATCCTATAAGTGTGATTGCTGTGCTGTATTTTTAATAACGTACCCTCTCCTCATTTTTCATTTTCATTTGATAAGTGAATTAGTGAGTAAAATAAGTATTTTATGAATATTTTAACAGAAGTCTTTTGCTGAAACACAGAAGTTGAGCGTACGTACATAGTCAAATATGAATTCAAATGCTTTTTCTGCATCCTACGAAGTTGTGTGGACTAGCTATGATCTTTCATGTCTGCTTGCCCATCAAATTTGCATGACATTTTACAAAGATCTTGCTTTTTGTCCCTTTTTATATTAGATATTTTTTTATCCATGCCATTATCTTGTGCACACCTGCAAATCATGGCAGCGTATGTGAAATGTGAACACTTTATATTAACTCACATAATCGACTCCTTTTAACCTTTTCAGCTGCACTTTAAGGCTAAAAACAATACCAGACAGCCTAAACAGGCTAGTTGATAACAGCACCTTTATTTCCTGACAGGATGTACTAGCGGGTTGACCTTGCTGTCAGTTTTAAGATTTCCCAAATCAATTGTTATGGCTAGGGTTGCTATCTCGGAAGTGAGCAATGAAAATCAACTCAACTTCACCCCACCTTTTGTTAACTTCCAAACAGGAAGAAGGTCCTGTGGGGGTCTCCTCTGGCCATACCTGCTTCCTGTCTCTGCTTAGCAACGAGGAAAGTGTAACTAGGGGCTGTCAAAGGGGTCAATAACCAACTGTTTGTCCTCTTACACAACTGTGGACTGCACATTTCCAAAAGAGAGTCACATTGTTAAATATTATAATCAAGGTGCTGTCAAATTCAGGTCACGTGTTTAGAAGTCAAAGCACTTAAGAAAAATTATTTTCATATCCCGTCTGTCTGTCAGTTAGCAGTGTCTAACTTATGTCAACACCAATGTGCACAGGAATGTACTAAATCTGTATTTATTGCATGTGTGAGTGTATGTTGGTGAACAGGGGACATGGTTTGAAAATGCGTGTTTTGAGTGTGTGTGTGTGTGTGTGTGTGTGTGTGTGTGTGTGTGTGTGTGTGTGTGTGTGTGTGTGTGTGTGTGTGTGTGTGTGTGTGTGTGTGTGTGTGTGTGTGTGTGTGTGTGTGTGTGTGTGTGTGTGTGAGAGAGTCAGGTACAGATGTTTGACAGCCCTCTCTGCTGTCTGCTCCTCCTATTATCTCATCCTCTCTCCACATGCCGCCAACATCTAATGCAATAATTAGCAATCAGTCTCGCCCCGGTGGCTCCATTCACTGACCTCGTACACACACACTCAGTGGATGTTCTTATCTGCTGTGAAGAGTCCTTGTAGGCTCCAGCTTTGGGACAATAAAGCACCACAACACTCTGGATGTACTTCTCCCTTATGACAAAAGCCAGCAGAAACACACAATAATGGCACAGAGGAGAGACTTGTCTCAATAAAATGGGATTACAGTGGCAGGAGCACAGAAATGAATTCAGGTGGTATAAAGTGGGGACGACTTAGAATAAAACAAGGTTAAGCCAAGTACAGGAACACATTAGAATAAACAAGGATAATAGAGAGGCGGGAGCACGCACACATTGGATCAGACCTTTAAAGACAACAGAAAATGGTAGAGGCACTTTAGGTAATGAGGTTTCCATGCATGCTCATTTCTATTATAATCAGCTTTCCCTCTCATTTGGGTGCATCAAAAATAAAACACACAATAGCCGTTTAAGTGCTACGAACAATAAAAGTCACACAGCCTCCTTTAGATGCAGAAATAAAGCCCTGGTATGTTATTTATTTATTTGAGCAAGATCAGCATGTTAAAGGGAAATGTCTCCTGACAAGTGGGGTTTTCAGACTCTGACAGCAGATACAGAGTAACTCTCGAGTCCAGAGTGTAGTGGGAAGGCCATCCATCACTGCAGAGAAAGAACATTCATGGTGGTCACAAGAAAATCAATTCCTTGACTGTCTACGATAAGAAAAAAAGAAAAGAAAAGATGCAGTTATGGCTGAAGACAATAAAGTTTTAGCTCTGTAATTGCAGATGCAACACTGTTCCCAGAGGTCAAGATTTAACTTAATTATGTTTAAGGTTGGGTTAGGTTAAGTCAGTTTTGGTCACCTTTAATCACACAAACCAAAAAGCAAGAAGTTTAGGTCGTTTTAAGCATTTTAACTTTTTTGTTTTCCAGTTTAGGACAGACTGTTTCCAATGTTATCATCCCATTAAGTGGCTGTAATCAGTTGTCATCAGGAGCATCTGAGGTAGGGTGGGCCTACCTTCTTATTGGCTCAGTAGACCGTTACCATCTATTAGTAAGCTGAACGTATGAAAGTGCAGTATACCAGCAGAGGATGGGACAACAGACGGACATAGTGTGATATAAAGAGCCACAATGTCTGTGTATGGAGGAGGTTGGGATGGATGGATCAGACAAACACAGGACTTTCACCCAGGAGTCTGCTGTTCATGTCCCATGTGAAGCAAAAAAAGTAAATGTTGCATATTTATTATTGTTAACTTGAATGAGAATGTTTTAGAATTCTATAGAGAATAATTTATCAATTATAGTAATAGATAATATGAGCACCTTCTGGCCTACAGTTAGGTGCCGTTTGCCCCGTCTGAACCATTATAATGGTAGCGATAACAATTGATGGTGCTGTTTTGTTTTCTGTACAGTGAGCATCACAGAGCTGCTAGTGTGACAGGACTCTTCTTTTAAATGAAACCTGCTTTGCAAAATGAAAAATGCTCTGATGGGAAGCGTACCCCTGAAACAAACAAACTTGTATCTCTGACCTTCCCTTTACTGGACTTGGACAATCGCTGTAGCCTCTCCTGCCGTGAAATATTCTCCCAGCCGGCCTAATCATCTTCATTCTTCATCAGCAGTGAAAGACCTAAAGCCTCAACTTCTGCAGCCGCCCGCTGGCTGAGTTGAATAAGTCAAAAAGAAAGAGGGGCAGAAAACGAGAGGGCGGACGAGAGAGCACCTGATGAAAGGAAAAGAGAGAGAGAGTAAAAAGAAAGAAAGAAAATCCCGAGAGGGACAGGCTGCGCCCTACAGTGCCTTTGTCCTATTGGCCAAGGGCCCGCCCGGCGCCGGCGGCAACCGATGACATCACTGTGTGAAACACAGTGGGGGAGGGCGGGGCCTCTGCTGCCTCTTGTCACCTTGGCAACAGGTCCAATTGTGTGTGTGTGTGTGTGTGTGTGTGTGTGTGTGTGTGTGTGTGTGTGTGTGTGTGTGTGTGTGTGTGTGTGTGCGCGTGTGTGTGCGTGTGTGTGTGTGTGCGCGTGTGTGTGTGTGTGTGCGCGCGCTTGTTAGAGTTATGCAGTGATTGCTTCACCTTTGGCTGTAAGTCTGCCGCCAATACTCTTTTATGCTCTTTCTTTTCTTTCTTCACTCTTTCTCGCCGTCCTTCCTCCATCTCTCCATCCTGTCTGTTTCCCCACAGAGTTACATTTTGTCACCAGCAAAGTTTAATTTTTAAAACACACAAACAGGGTTAATTTTCTATGCTCTGTTCCCCCTGAACTCATCCACCTCCTCTTCCTCCGTCTTCCCTCACTCCATTCTTCTCATGTCCACATGTCCTTTCATCTTCTATTCTCCTTTCCTCCTTTTCCCCTCATCTTTTCCTTTCTCCTCCCCTCCTCTTCACTCTTTTCAGTATTCAGTGGAGTCTATCGTAAGTGGATTGGTGGTGTGCCCACTTAAAAGGAGTGGAGGAATCACACCACTAATCCCATTGTGAGAGAACAAGAGCTGAGGCAGGCCTGTGTGAGTGTGTGTGTGTAAAAGAGAGTGAGCTTCCATGAGTAAGTGACATTACTTCTGTATGGAGAACGTGTGTTGGAAAAAAGGAAAAGAGGGATATATAGACAGTAACATGATGAAGAAAGTCAGAGAGAGAGAGATAGAGGGGTCTTTGTGTGTGTGCCCTGTTAAATCAGGCATGTAACGCCAGCTTTTATTGGAAAGCCTCTCTAGCCTCCTGTGATAAGTGGCAGGCTTCTCTGATCTATACATGAAAGACTGTGAGCAAGAAAGGGAAAGAGAGAAAAGGTGGAGAGGAGAGAAAGTGGGAGAAGAACAGAAGGAAAGGTAGAAATAGAAATGAGAGAGTGTGGGGGGGGGGATCTGTGTGGTCTGTCCAAAATAAATCCCATTTCCCAGGGAGCTTCTTGAGCCGTTCTCCTAATGACAAAGACGAGAAGAAAAGGGAACAAAAGACAGGATGACCAAGGACTTTACATTCACACATCAGGGCTGTGCAGCTTGCTCAAGGGCACTTTTGCACTAGTTTTTACAGCTTTACTAATTTACCTGTCCAGAACAGGAAAGGTTCCCAGTTCACAGGAGGAAAAAGGTGAACTATATGAATATGTTGCTTGTCCTTGCGGTCCAAAACAACTTATTCATGTGGCTGTTTTCTGATCTGACACCTTTGGTAAAGAGTTGGTTTTGGCATGGAAACTAACCATGTTAAAGCAGCAATAATGTTTTTTAGTTGAAATGCCGAACATGTTAGCTAACGGTTGTCTGCAGAGCACACTTTTGCAGTCTGTTTGTGCACCTGGTGAATGTAAATTCAAATTTCACCCTCCTCTTCTTCTTGGTCTCCAGCAACTCCTGAGAGAAATATCTGTCTGTTTAGCAGCTATATGCTCACCAGCTAGCCTCTAACTCTGTCTGCTGTTTGGTGGTGACATGCTGGTGTATTTTTATTATGTATTAACTCATATTTGTCCATCCACTTAAGTCTAGAATTGGATTTTTGTACCACACACTACCCATGGATGAAGGCTTTCCTTTGTTTGAAAATACCTTTTCCACAGCGGCCATTTTGACATGAAATAGTAGCATAAACACAGGTGTTACTAACAACACTAATCATTGGTAACACTTGTGTTTACCCGACTATTTCATATCAAAATGGCTGCATCAGCCATGATGACCCTTACCTATGGCTGTGAGCTTAGCGACCCAAAGAATGAGATCAGAGATATAAGCTGGGTGGTTGGGCTGAGCCTTAGAGTTAGGGTCAGCGTTTGCATTGAACGTGCCTTCCGTTTGGAGGTTTTCTCAGCACATCCAACTGGGAGGAGACCACAGAGTAGACACAGAACTCGCTAAAGGGATTATGTGTCTCAACTGGCCAAGAGGGCCTCTGGATTCCCCAGGAGGAGTTGGAAGGCTTTGCTGGGGAGAGGGATGTCTGCAGTGCCCTGCTTGACCTGCTGCCACCGCGACCCGACCCCTGATAAGTGGATGAAAATGGATCGATGGACTGTTCCCCCAAAAGTACTAATGGGTGTAGGGGGCTGTTACTGTTTTTCAGTTTTTGCTGTCTTTTTCATTATAAGAAAACAATGTTGAAGTTTGGTAGGAAGCGAACAGTGGCTTTATGTCTCAAGTCAAGTTTTTTTGCGGCACGTGACTAGGCCTGTCGCGATATGCGATAAATCAATTAATCGCACGATAAATAAAATGAGCTCGATAATTTTTTTCGGCTGCGATAGTTTCCATTTGCATGCTTGTTTGTTTTCCTCGTCTCTCTCTCTCTCTACCAAAGAGACAGCATCTCATTGCTAAAGAGATGCTGCCCTTTAGTATCGTCAAAAAAGCCGGCAGAGTGTGGTTTTTAATTTCCATTTTATTTATTGTTTTCGTTTGTGTTGTGTTTTTATTCAAGTGCATTTTTGTCCATTTTATTTATTGTTTTTGGTTGTTTTGTTCATTTCTTGTGGATATTTAAAATGTCTTCTAGTTCCAGTATTACATATTGTTTAGAAATAAAAGTTTATTGATCTTTGAAAAGGTGTACCTGCATTTCTTATGCCATTATCATTATATTAAATGAAAATGGTCTCTGAACGACAATATTATCGTTTAAGGCAATAATTTCTGGGACAATTTATCGTCCAGCAAAATTTGTTATCGTGACAGGCCTACACGTGACAGATAATGGTCATATTTCCCACATGTACTAAAGGTCCTTGATAGGTAGACATACAATTACAAAGATGTATTTTTTCTTTAAAAGTCTCAAAGAAACAAAGACAGAACGTAAAAGGAAATACAGAACAACACAGAGATCTTCAGAATGAGCACAGATCACAGGAAGTCTCTTTTGATCTCTGTCCTTTAATAAAGTCTTTCTTCTGTCCTTTCCAACCTCGATTTACATGCTTGCGCCATGCCAACAGCAGCACTTCTTTCTTCATTTTTTTCCCCCTTCATCCCTCCCTTTCTCTCCCGCGCACACTCATCACCCACCAGGCGCAAACACACTTCTCTTTCATTCCTGACACTCCTGTTTTCTTCTCTTCACTCCCACCGCTCCTCGCCCACTGGGAGGTAGAAAGAGATTTATAGAGGCTGAAGTGATATCATTGTTAACGGTTGTCCTCTGAGCTCCCGTTTGAAACACACACAGGCAGAAATGATGGCGCGATCAAACGCACGCAGGTGACTGAGCAAGCAACAAAGGGGCACAAATGTACAAACGCACTCCTACACACACACAGACACACACATACCCATCTGCTGTCAAGAGGGTTTGTTCCCACGCCGTAGGGAGTGTGTCTCATGACCAGCCAGCTGTGTGTTTGCGTGTGTGTGGTGTGTGTTGGTTGGAGGGTGTATGGAGACACTTGGGGGTTCTCCTTGGGGATTAAACTCGTGTTTTAAGGTCAGACAGGGTTGCACTGCTGGTGACTGGAGGATTTGCTCACACACACACACACACAATCAGTTACCTCAGGACAGACTTAGGCGGTGCCACTGTTGTCAAACACAATGTATTAGCTTATTTCAAATGCAATATGGTGCGTGTTAGCTTATTGTCTTGCCAGCTAATCCATTAAAGTGACCACAGAGGCCACAGTAAGTGCCAACATCTATCCTCCTGGAGCCTCTAGGCACTTGCTGTGTGGATAAGTGGGTGGCAGGTGACCAACCTTTGTAGTAGTGAGAATAATTATTTGATAAATTAATAACTATTTAAATTATGGCAATGGGAATGTTGGTCTGTCGGTCAGGCCACCACTTTGTTCCAGACTGAATATGTTAACAACTGGATTGGATGTATTCCCATCAAACAAAAACCAGTAAAAGCAATGACGTTCCCAATAGCCACAGCTATACTCTGTGCTTAATACTATTTAGCAATTTTAGCACGCTAACATGTAAATTAAGATGGTGAACATGGTAGACGTTTATACCTCCTGAAAATGAGCATGTTAGTGGCCTGAGCTCTAACATTGCTGCAGACTCTGACTTTGTTATTGATTCATTTGATTTGAGAAATACCTGGATATCTTTAAACGGAGCGCATTAGTTGAAAGAGATTATATGCCACCATGATGTACCAGATTTTCTTTAAAAAAAAACAACATTTACCATACATACCTTACATTTGAACTTCAAATGGCATTGTTAAAATGTGATTTTCACTCTGCACAGATACATTTTTTGAAAACAAACGATCAAACAAAACCACAACTTGCATTGTTTGAGCTGTTCCCTGTTAGTCCACCATTGCCGTGGTTCCATCTCAACAGCCCTCTGTCCTCACATGACCTTGACTGTGCATGTTTTATTGGGATGGGATCATTTACATCTAAATTAGCATTAGTTACAGGTATTGACGGCCCCACCTGTGAATTAAATCAACCCCATTGATCCAATCTGAGCCAGCGACAGATACAATTGGGGTCGTGAGAGGGATTAATGAAATAGTATTTGAAGTCCAAACAAAAGGTAATAGACTCAGATGGATTACAATGCCAGTGCTTGAATTAATGAAATGTAGAGGCTATTGTCAGTGAGTTCCGGCTGATTTATGCAAAAAACAATGAAACCTTTCTTGCGGTAGATCAAGTACAGTCTGAAAGGCTGAAAGGTAGACAATAAAGCTGATATGGAAAATCTGAGCTCTACGTGTAATTTCCAACTCTCATAACTAACTACAGTTATTACTGTAGTCATTTTCTTGAAAGGAACATGAATCACTGCAGCCTTTAATTGTTAAATAAAAAGCCTCTGTCTTATCTCTTAAGCTGATTATTTGGGAAGTGTTTTTGGGGTGAATCGAGGAAGAGGATTTTAGAAAGGGATATAAGGGTTTGAGAGTTGTTTTTGAA